AAACGTTGTTAACAGTATGATCGCATACTTAAATTTTGAATCATAGTTTTTTGGTGCAACTCGAAAACAAATAACCGCACAATAAAGATTCTAGAAATTTTCACCAAATATTTTTGTATTATTATTTTCCATAAATGACATAATGTTCAAAATATTGACTCTTTTTGAGCAATTTATAGTAGATATTTTCGATTTATTTTAGTTTTTTTTCTATAAATGTATAATATAATATACCTACCTACTTTACCTATTTGCTTACAGTGTAATTTTCTCTTTTCAATAATTATGCAATTTAAATTGTTAAAAATAATTAAATTACTGAATTTAACTAAACTGGTAACATGGACTTTTAATTTTTAACGCCAAGTTGAGCACTGGCTATATATATAATATATATAACACTCTTTACATCTGCTTTTTACGGCACTGGACTGCAGTTGTAGGTATAATAAATACTAAATAGGTACCTACTAAATACCTATCACTTATCATATTATTACTATATTAATATTATTAGATTCGATGTGGCACTCGGTTCACCCGTCTTCGATCAGAGTCGTATCAATTTAATGGGCGCGATTCGGTCACGGCCCACGGCGTCCTGGGAAATCGGCGTCTAGCATACAACAGTATTTTATAAATAATAAAATTATAAAATAAAATTATTGCAAATAACGTCGCGCTCGTCCCTCGTTATTATCGTAACGTATTTCACGTGAAAATTTAATAATAAACTTTCCGAGCAAAAATGTGGACATTTTACACTCGAGAGAAAAAACCAACTCAAATGCTATGCGATAAGTAATAATCCAAATTCCAATATAATATTATAGACTTCAATATCATATTATATATAATTTATAGCGATTCGAGTGTTGGCAGTTTAGATATCGGTAGACAGGTGATATTAAACTATAATCAGTAGGTATACTATAATTATCGTGTGATTGCGATATCTATATCCGTTTGGAGATATGCCGAATAAAACGGGGAAATATATGAAATACATATATATATATATATAACTAATAAATTCCGATATGATATATTATTGCACCAAGTGGCGACTCGGCGGAGTGCGAACCGAACCGTCAGTCGTCAGTTCACTTCGACATGTCTTCGGGTCTTCTGCTCTCTCGCCAATGCCGAATAAAATTTTATTTCAGTTTAATGCACATTTTTATTACAATTTACAGTCCGGGTTTTTTTTTAGTCGAAATAGTGCCGTGTCGTGTGTATCGATTTTAAAATTTAAAAAATTTAAAACGTGTTTATAAACGCACATACCGTAATCCAGTTCGCGCGCGATGAAGAATATTGAGGAAACGTGTGTTCAATATTTGGGTAAGATCCACTATAAATAAATAATAACAATAACTATGAACTATATAATGATATCATGTCTATTGCGTTTATATAGGTACCTACGACATTTCTGTAAAAGAAAGGAGCGGTGAAAATGGAGCTTACGAAAACGACGAGAAAATGAAATATTACAAAGGAAGTTTTGGTCAGCAAAAAGATGTTGCAGGTAAGATTAATAATAACATTTACTTGCACTATGTGACCTAGGTAATATATTAATTATTCGATTTTACTTACCTACGATTTTGTTCGTACGCTCGACAAAATATCAGCGGAATCGTTATGCGTTGTAGCGTGTAGGACGTAGGTCAGGTTAGATATTATATGATATGTGTTATATATGTGTTATTTTAGATAAGTTCTAAATTTGTCTTATGAAATTTTTTTGTCTTATCAAACGATGTTTGAATTTGCATATTTTTGCATATTGCATAGGAAAAGTGTACATCTGAGCGATTTTTCGTATTTTTGTGCATATATTGAATTTTTTTAACTTAAATGTAGGTACTTACATACAATTGTCGGGAAAAATCATATTTGGATAACATTGAAAAATATCTTTAAAAATAATATGTTTGGTTAGGTGCAATAGGAGCTTATTTTGAGATTTGGGGAAGCCGAAGCCTAAAATCATACTATTATAAAATTGAATAAGCTTAAAAAATTTTAGTAAATATTTGGGAGGGCTGTTAAAGTTGTTGGTGAATCTAGGCTACGGTTGGCCCTATTTTCGCATATGGTACGTAAGATTTTATAAGTCTCTTTGTGACAAGACTGTGTTAAAACTATAATTGACAATAATAGTTGAAAATAAAACTGGTACCTACCTATCTACTAGTAGTATACCTAGTATAATAATAATAATAAAATATTTAAAATCAATAAAATAAAACTGGTAAACTACATAATTTAATAATAATATAATAAATGTTTAAAACAAAACTGGTATACAACCTTGTATAATAATAATCATAAAATAATTAAAATTAATAAAACAAAACTTGTAGGTATCTATACTAGTGCTACATATTATAGTAATAAATATAAAATATTTCAAGTAAATAAAACAAAACTAGTATATTAATTAATTTAATAATAATACAAATATTTAAAATAAAACTGGTACCTATAGTCTATACTACATATAATATTTTATACCTACTACTGGTTCATAAAAAATATTTGTTTAGTTAATTTTTGTATTTTACAAACAGGATTTAAAATTTCTGTTGAAAACATTTTGCCAAAAGAATAGAGTCGAATACTTAGATATTTTTTAACTAATAATGAAATTAATACCATCTTATGGGGTCTATCTAGCAAAGGAACATTATCACATTGAAGTGTATTAAAAATATTATTATCGAATGCTAATGTATTATTACATAGGTTTATTATTTTTAAATCAAGATTTTTATATTTACGACTGATAACAGATTTTATTACCGGCAGAATTCGAAATCGAATAGAATTCGATTATGTAAAAAAAGTAAAAAAACACATAGCTAATAAGAAAAGCTATTAAGAAAAGCTTGTGAATTATTGAATGTGAAATGAAGTGTTAAATCAAAACATCTCCTAACCTAACATCTTAACCTTAAAATTATCTATGTGTTTTTTTACTCTTTTTTAATTTTAATTTTAATTTACCAACGCTTCCAATCCAAAACGCTCCGAGCCATAACTAAAGCACCTTTCTACGTGTCCAACCAGACCTTACATAACGATCTTGCCATCTCACCCGTCTGTGATGTAGCTAGAACTTTTTAAAGACGATTTAACTTATCTGTTAAAAACCATGATAATCCCCTAATTAAAGGACTTGCGTCGGCAAACATACCCGACAATCCTAGGAAAAGACTAAAAAGGCGGTGGTGTCGGGACCTATTAATTTAGTTAATTATCTAATCTTTTTCTATTTATTAATAATTGTTAACTTATTGAAATGTATATAAACAGCTGACAAAGTGTCTTCACTGGAAGGCTTCTTAAATCCGTCCTTTCCTCAAGCCACTTATTCATTCAATTATCTATTTTACTTATTGTTCATAACCGAAAGGAAACTTTTCCACACTACACTCATAAAGTGGGTTTCCTTTGAAAACTGCATGTATGTCAATTAGGTGAACATTTTCTTCGATATTACCATAGGTAAAATAATTCTGAAATACACAAGCACATACATTTAAACATTATAAACACACGGAAAAAAAATTATATCATTATTAAATTCAAAAATTTGTCATTTCTATCAAGACTGAAACATCCTTACTCAGGAAGCCAACCAATCTCAGAAGAAAAACATTTTTTTTTATGGTTATTATTTATTTTTCATTAATCCGACGCTACATCCGAATGCGTTATCTCTGTATCAGTGTATCACAAATACATAACATAGCAAATTGTACATTCTGAATAATCTATTTTACTCTATTATGACTAATATTGGAGTAAATTGACCTACTATAACATTTAGCAGTACTAATAATATCTAGTGAACCTCAAATGTTTTTTATTAGATTTTAATTTTAACATTAAATTTAAAGTACATATAATAGCATTGAGTACCTACATAATATATACCCAATAGTAATAGGTATTTTTTATAATCAAAAATAAGGAAATAACTTATTACAATGTACAATTTAAATAAATCATTACAAGTTTAAATTAATAAATGAATAAACATACCTTAATAACATTCATACCAAATGCACTGAAAAAAAAAGTTTAGTTATTGGAACCAAAATATGGTAACAATAACTATGAAATTTAGTTGCCTCAGTGACAACATAACCATTAGTTGTGTACACAAATGTAATTTTGTTGACTGTAAATCGTTAGATAAACCATATTATGTTGTTATCAGTACTATTCTTGATTCGGTATTGACAACTAAAATTATGTATAGGTGACTGAATTCATTCCGTTATATATACAAAACATGAATTTAATACTACAGAATATCATCCTACTATTTTGTTGAGATAACAGAAAAAGTTTGTAACGATTTATATACATTTTGTTTTATGTACACAATTACAATTCATCTACAGCAAATCATTTTGTTACTGATACTTTGCCTTGTTTGTTAGTACTTTACTATTCTAGTAGGTAAGCTTAACATTTTCGTTTTGTTAACATTTCTAAATTTATTGAGTTGCTTGTACAAAATAATTTGTTATGGAAGCAAACTTTTTATGTCATAAATACAAAACATTAATACATAATATGTACCTATGTATAATACATAATACATATTATATTATATCACAATCAACAATTAATAAATAAGTCTTATTTATAACAACTAGGCATTTTATTTTAATAAACATAAAAATGTTTACAATTTATTATAATGTACCTATATTATACAAATTATTGTTACTTATTAATTACAATTAAAACAATTAATGACAGGTTATATAAAAAATACATAGGTACTCTTTTAATAATATTGTACAAAAATTACAAAGTCAAAAAACGTATTCTAAAGATTTTACATAATTATTATTATTTACCTTTTATTCATTCATACATGTGTATCAAACATTGAATATGTATATTAAACCATAAAATAAATAAATAAATTACATAGATATAAACATATCATTCAAGTGAAATTTCAAAACAGATTATAATGGGTCTCGAACTGTCACATATCTTACTCCATCTGGAGTTACATTCAAAGTGTTTGGTATGGGAGATATTAATGAATCCTGGTAAATGAAACACATATTTGATACTGGTATTTCTATTTCAAAAGCATGCAAATGTTCATTAAAACCTACAGTATTTAATAAATTACACTCAAAAATGATGTTTTCAGATCCATACATATAGATATTTTTAACAGAATATACAAATTGTGGGTTGTCATCATCCAAGTCTCTCGTCAAAATACTATTCACTTTGTATCGTGTTCCTTTAAGTTCAGCCCAACTTATACGAATCAATGTTTCTTCAGTACTAAGATTGAGTTCAGATTTTATTAAGTTATATTTTGAGCAATGTAATATTTTACTAGGACCTATAACAAGGTTATTACACAATAAGAACTTGGTAAATATGTCGTTTAATTGCAGTTGATGCTTAATAGCCAACGTTTTACAAATATTGCGTCTATTAAAAGAAGACCTAGCAGAAATCTTTGATATTCTATGTTTAGCTTCATATCTCATTGACCAAAAATGGACAACAGGACCAAACTTTCTTATTATTAAGGGATAATGTGTAAGAAAATGAAACTTTGGTTTGAGTGTATTTTTACTATATTTTATATAAAGTTCATTCATTTCTCCTATTAAAGTCTCTAGTAAGAAACAACTATTCTCTTCTAGTGAAGTTGACAACACAATGTCTACAACTTTACTTTAGAAAATATATTATTGAGTAGAAATTCCAATATCTGACATAAAAGTGTTAACAGTAGTAAAATTTTTATCAAATGTAGTGTGTAAATTATAAAACCCCTTTTGAATGAAATACCAAATGGTTTCACATTCTACAGGATACTCTGCGTTAAATGTTATTGTTGTTTTAAAGCAACAATCAACAGCAGCTAGAATTGAGTTTAGCTGATAAAATACATCATCAACCACAACAAAATAATTTGAAATTTCACTTAAAGTAGGACCTACTATAATAATAAATGGTTGCTGTGTATGACCTAATCCTAACAATTTTTCTTGTTTACGTGATATAGTTTCTTGTACCTCTGCATTACTTCGAACGTGTGTTATGAATCCATCCCGCATTTCTAATTTTGAAAGTTTCCATTGAAGTTTTGTCTTCTTACTTCTAGAAATTGTGACTCCAATTAAAAAAGGCAAGCAGAGAAATGCTGATATGTTTGATGCTTCTTCATTGTCTGTAAATACAAATGATGTTTGTTATTCATAAATTAAGTGATGTGGTTAGAAAAAAATCTTTCAATAATTATGTTTGGTCCAGAAAATAAAGAAAACTATTATTTTTAGATCTGTCAATGGTATTGATACTAAGGAATACAAATATATGACATACTAAAATAACTGGATGTAATGAATTACATAATATTAAATTATATTATAATACATAATAAATAGTTAGAATAAATCAAAAATCCATTTTTTATACATCCTACTCACAGAGTCAAGGACTACAAACGTTATTTTTTTAATTTAATTTAATTTTTTAGTTTACCTTCAGCTCCCAATTGTACATAATCTTTAAGAATTTGATTAATCGAATGTTCTTTGGTTTTTTTAATTTTCTCTGCAGTTAATTATGTAGTATATTTAATTTATATTATAATTAATTTGACTTACTGTAGGTTTAGATGATGATGAGATATTTGAGAGATTTGGAAGATTTGAGAGATCAACAGACTAAAAAAAAAAAACAAAATTATATATTATTTAAATACATGTCAGTTTAAATTATAACCATCATAATTAATAATTAGAGACTGGAATTATAAACATTTTTGAGTTCATATACTGAGTGTATGCACCATAATGATAATTTGAAATTCTGGTCTCTATTAATGATTATTAATTAACATACATAATAATATAAAAATATTAAACATTTGTATTAGGTAGTATATAAAAGACACATAAGGAGTAAAAACAAAACATAAACTCAACTTTTTTTTTTTATGGTACAAATTACAAAATGTTATAGGTAGTAAATTGTCAGTTATTTCATTAATTTTGAACATGGTTTGACAATTTTTCATATAATTTATTCATTTTAAAATTTACTTAGTTGTATTTATTATTAATAAGTTTGTTTTTTCATTATGATACAGCTGTTAAATTGTTGTTATTTTAATCACTAAGTTATAATATTATTATATGTTTGATCTTAATTTTTTGCATACAATATTAAGATTTTAGTGTAGGTACACTAATATTATAATATTGTTGAGTATATTATGAAAAAAAAAAAAATTAATTTAAGTAATTATATTTTAAAATGGTAGTGTTATATTATTACTTAATTGTTTTAAAAATGTTTGATCTCAAATTTGTTTATAAAATATTCAGATTTAAGTATGTGTGTAATGTATATAATATACATATTATAAAATACTGTATATATAAACATTTTGTAATTCTCATGCAAGTTTAATTAATTGGTATTAATTAACATTTTATCTAATATAGGTCAAAGGGAATTATAACTTTTTACTAACATAGTGATTAAAAAATTGAAATTATAAACATATTAAAACTTGCATTGCCCGTCACCAAAAAAACAATATTGTGATTTAAGCTGAAAAGCTCTACGCACCTTAAATTATAACCTATATCTAATTCTACACAACATATAATAAATATAAATAATTTGAATAATCATACTTACCTCAGTTGAAGAGCTTTGGCTAGGTATACTTGAAATGTCATCAACTAATAAAATATCCGTTCCAATATCAATAGATGATGATTCATTAATCTAAAATAAAAACAATTTAAGATAGGTAGGTAGGTACCTGATATTTTTTTACATTGATACAAATACTAGTATTCAGTGATCAATACTTTCAAGTAAAAATTTTACTATTTTCTACTTAATAGTTACGAGGTATATCGTATTATATAATGTAAGTATGTTGATAAAACTTACCTCGAAACGTATCAATATATTGGGATAAGTCCCACGCTGTTAGGAAGTCTGCTAGGTCATCGGACATCATTAAAATTTAACTAATTAACTAATAACAAGTTAATTTAAAAGTGACAACGAGAAAAACTGATGAACTATTTACTATAATGATGACAGTATGACACGAGTTTGGCAGTCGGTCGTCAAATAAAGAATCGGTGATTCTCGGCGGCATGCAGCGTCGGCAGCGGGTGTGGTAGTGTTAGTACACGGGTAAAACCCAGTTATTATTTAATTTTAACTCTACTTTGTTAACGATACATGTTGTTCCTGCGCGTTATCAATTGTTTTAAATGTTTCAATTTTCGGTTATAAAACCATCTCCTATGTGCCATTTTTACTATCTCTTTTTACTTAAATTGATTTCTGAGGCATTTCCACCCGAAAGGAAACTTTCGTACATGAGTACATTACACTTAAATAGTGGGTTTCCTATAAATACTGCTTCTATGTCAACTACATTCATACTGGATGAGTTTTTCCTGCTCTTTATTAATTGTTTTAAATGTTTAAACTTTCTGTTGAAAAACCATCTCCTGTGTATAATTTTTATAATTTTTGGCATTAAATCAGTTTTTTTTATATTTTTGTATTTTGCCCGAGTATTACGATGAGATTTAATATTTTTAAAAATACGATCGATTTTTAATACCAGAAGTCTATAAAAAAAAAAGTTTGTTATATTTATAATAAGTTACAAATTTAAGGTTAATGTTACAGTAAGATTTTATAAATTTGTCTCTCATACATGTGAACATCACAACATCACAATAATATTCATCGTTTTTGGGAAAATACATTCAAGAAAATATTTGAATATTGTTATGATTTACCATTTCTATACAAGACGCCAGAAGTACATCTAAGAATTAGTTTTTATTAAGCTTCTGGGAGAAGGCTTACATTTTTATTTCGGTATTAAAACTGATTTCTTACAATTGATTAACAATTTTTTTGGAACAAGTCTAGTTTACCGGGCACATTTTTTTTTTGAAATTTTTTTTTTTTGAAAAGGGTTGTTTTGACGAGTTAAGAACGATGGTGCAAAAATAAAATTGCGGAAATGATTATTTTGGAAGTTATAGCTTCCCAAAGTTAACGATTTTACGTTTATACGCGTGCTCCGGTCGCCAAACTCGCGGTCCTCCGCGCGGCATTATAGTAGTGTTGCGCAAACTACATAATTTAATAATAATATAATAAATGTTTAAAACAAAACTGGTATACAACCTTGTATAATAATAATCATAAAATAATTAAAATTAATAAAACAAAACTTGTATCTATACTAGTGCTACATATTATAGTAATAAATATAAAATATTTCAAGTAAATAAAACTGGTATCTATAGTCTATACTACATATAATATTTTATACCTACTACTGGTTCATAAAAATTATTTGTTTAGTTAATTTTTGTATTTTACTAACAGGATTTAAAATTTCTGTTGAAAACATTTTGCCAAAAGAATAGAGTCGAATACTTAGATATTTTTTAACTAAAAATGAAATTAATACCATCTTATGGGGTCTATCTAGCAAAGGAACATTATCACATTGAAGTATATTAAAAATATTATTATCGAATGCAAATGTATTATTACATAGGTTTATTATTTTTAAATCAAGATTTTTATATTTACGACTGATAACAAATTTTATTACTGGCAGAATTCGAAATCGAATAGAATTCGATTATGTAAAAAAAGTAAAAAAACACATAGGTAGCTAATACGAAAAGCTATTAAGAAAAGCTTGTGAATAATAATAATAATAATAATAATAATAATAATAATAATAATAATAATAATAATAATAATAATAATAATAATAATAATTGAATGTGAAATGAAGTGTCTCTTTTTACTTAAATTGATTTCTGAGGCATTTCCACCCGAAAGGAAACTTTCGTACATCCAGGCCCGGCTCAAGGGGTAGGCGACATAGGCCCACGCCTAGGGCGGCACATAAGCAGTACTTTAGTAAGATGGCGGTATTTTCAAAATACTGATAATATTATATTATTAGGGGCGGCAAAATTTGATTTCGCCTAGTTCACTATTTTCGCTTGAGCCGGTCCTGCGTACATTACACTTAAATAGTGGGTTTCCTATAAATACTGCTTCTATGTCAACTACATTCATACTGGATGAGTTTTTCCTGCTCTTTATTAATTGTTTTAAATGTTTAAACTTTCTGTTGAAAAACCATCTCCTGTGTATAATTTTTATAATTTTTGGCATTAAATCAGTTTTTTTTATATTTTTGTATTTTGCCCGAGTATTACGATGAGATTTAATATTTTTAAAAATACGATCGATTTTTAATACCAGAAGTCTATAAAAAAAAAAGTTTGTTATATTTATAATAAGTTACAAATTTAAGGTTAATGTTACAGTAAGATTTTATAAATTTGTCTCTCATACATGTGAACATCACAACATCACAATAATATTCATCGTTTTTGGGAAAATACATTCAAGAAAATATTTGAATATTGTTATGATTTACCATTTCTATACAAGACGCCAGAAGTACATCTAAGAATTAGTTTTTATTAAGCTTCTGGGAGAAGGCTTACATTTTTATTTCGGTATTAAAACTGATTTCTTACAATTGATTAACAATTTTTTTGGAACAAGTCTAGTTTACCGGGCACATTTTTTTTTTAAAATTTTTTTTTTTTGAAAAGGGTTGTTTTGACGAGTTAAGAACGATGGTGCAAAAATAAAATTGCGGAAATGATTATTTTGGAAGTTATAGCTTCCCAAAGTTAACGATTTTACGTTTATACGCGTGCTCCGGTCGCCAAACTCGCGGTCCTCCGCGCGGCATTATAGTAGTGTTGCGCAAACTACATAATTTAATAATAATATAATAAATGTTTAAAACAAAACTGGTATACAACCTTGTATAATAATAATCATAAAATAATTAAAATTAATAAAACAAAACTTGTATCTATACTAGTGCTACATATTATAGTAATAAATATAAAATATTTCAAGTAAATAAAACTGGTATCTATAGTCTATACTACATATAATATTTTATACCTACTACTGGTTCATAAAAATTATTTGTTTAGTTAATTTTTGTATTTTACTAACAGGATTTAAAATTTCTGTTGAAAACATTTTGCCAAAAGAATAGAGTCGAATACTTAGATATTTTTTAACTAAAAATGAAATTAATACCATCTTATGGGGTCTATCTAGCAAAGGAACATTATCACATTGAAGTATATTAAAAATATTATTATCGAATGCAAATGTATTATTACATAGGTTTATTATTTTTAAATCAAGATTTTTATATTTACGACTGATAACAAATTTTATTACTGGCAGAATTCAAAATCGAATAGAATTCGATTATGTAAAAAAAGTAAAAAAACACATAGGTAGCTAATACGAAAAGCTATTAAGAAAAGCTTGTGAATAATAATAATAATAATAATAATAATAATAATAATAATAATAATAATAATAATAATAATAATAATAATAATAATAATTGAATGTGAAATGAAGTGTCTCTTTTTACTTAAATTGATTTCTGAGGCATTTCCACCCGAAAGGAAACTTTCGTACATCCAGGCCCGGCTCAAGGGGTAGGCGACATAGGCCCACGCCTAGGGCGGCACATAAGCAGTACTTTAGTAAGATGGCGGTATTTTCAAAATACTGATAATATTATATTATTAGGGGCGGCAAAATTTGATTTCGCCTAGTTCACTATTTTCGCTTGAGCCGGTCCTGCGTACATTACACTTAAATAGTGGGTTTCCTATAAATACTGCTTCTATGTCAACTACATTCATACTGGATGAGTTTTTCCTGCTCTTTATTAATTGTTTTAAATGTTTAAACTTTCTGTTGAAAAACCATCTCCTGTGTATAATTTTTATAATTTTTGGCATTAAATCAGTTTTTTTTATATTTTTGTATTTTGCCCGAGTATTACGATGAGATTTAATATTTTTAAAAATACGATCGATTTTTAATACCAGAAGTCTATAAAAAAAAAAGTTTGTTATATTTATAATAAGTTACAAATTTAAGGTTAATGTTACAGTAAGATTTTATAAATTTGTCTCTCATACATGTGAACATCACAACATCACAATAATATTCATCGTTTTTGGGAAAATACATTCAAGAAAATATTTGAATATTGTTATGATTTACCATTTCTATACAAGACGCCAGAAGTACATCTAAGAATTAGTTTTTATTAAGCTTCTGGGAGAAGGCTTACATTTTTATTTCGGTATTAAAACTGATTTCTTACAATTGATTAACAATTTTTTTGGAACAAGTCTAGTTTACCGGGCACATTTTTTTTTGAAATTTTTTTTTTTTGAAAAGGGTTGTTTTGACGAGTTAAGAACGATGGTGCAAAAATAAAATTGCGGAAATGATTATTTTGGAAGTTATAGCTTCCCAAAGTTAACGATTTTACGTTTATACGCGTGCTCCGGTCGCCAAACTCGCGGTCCTCCGCCCGGCATTATAGTAGTGTTGCGCAAACTACATAATTTAATAATAATATAATAAATGTTTAAAACAAAACTGGTATACAACCTTGTATAATAATAATCATAAAATAATTAAAATTAATAAAACAAAACTTGTATCTATACTAGTGCTACATATTATAGTAATAAATATAAAATATTTCAAGTAAATAAAACTGGTATCTATAGTCTATACTACATATAATATTTTATACCTACTACTGGTTCATAAAAATTATTTGTTTAGTTAATTTTTGTATTTTACTAACAGGATTTAAAATTTCTGTTGAAAACATTTTGCCAAAAGAATAGAGTCGAATACTTAGATATTTTTTAACTAAAAATGAAATTAATACCATCTTATGGGGTCTATCTAGCAAAGGAACATTATCACATTGAAGTATATTAAAAATATTATTATCGAATGCAAATGTATTATTACATAGGTTTATTATTTTTAAATCAAGATTTTTATATTTACGACTGATAACAAATTTTATTACTGGCA